GTACTCAAAACAGGTAACAAAGATGCAGAAAAAAGATGCTGAGAAATGGAAAAAAAAAACAGAGAAAGCTGATCAGGAAAACAGGTCATGAGAAATGTTGGGCCAAAAGCAGGTGAGGAGACAAAGAGAAGGAGTTCAGAGCAGGAAAAGAAGGAGCCAGACAAGGAATAAATGAGAAGACAACAGCAGCACTGTGGTTAGTGTGGTTGCTGACCCAGTGCCCTACTATGTGAATCTGAATGTCCTCCCTGTGCCTGCCCAGGTTCTCTCCGGGTACTCCGGCTTCCTCCCACAGTCCAAAGACATGCAGCTTAGGTTGACTGGTGACTCTAAACTATCCGTAGGAGTGAGTGTGGTTGTTTGTCTACATGTCAGCCCTGTGATAGACTGGTAACCTGTCCAGGGTGGACCCTGCCACTCACCCAGTGTCAGCTGGGATTGGCTCCAGCCCCCCTCCATGACCCTGTTCAGGTGAGGGTGGCACAACACAGGAAATAACTACAAAAAAGTCCACAACAGGAAGTGTCTGAGGATCATGACACTGTACACTTGTCCAGATTTATCAAAGTATATATGCACTTGTGTTGAGAAAAAAAAAACTTGACAAAGAGAGAGATGGAGCAAAAGAACCGCCCATAGATTGTAGATGTGACATAAGGCAGAAGCCAAGACAGGCTGTCCGAAAATGTTGCTGTTAGCTTTACACAGCCAATAAAGTGATGTTCTCAGAAGCTGTCACAGTTCTCGTTGTCTTATCATATACTTGACAGTCAGTCCCATTTTCATATTTCTCTGTGTTCATTAAATGTACAGTTACAGTACATAAATAGCCTACTGTAAATGTCCATATATTGTGAAATTGTCATGTCTTCGGGTTGAATGTGATATCTGAGGAATGTCTTAATTTTCTTCAAACTTGGCCCCAGGCTTCTAGGGATTATAGACACAACTTTTTTTTTAAAGATTACTTTTTGGGGCTTACAACGTTTATTTTAATATTTTTACTGGGAAAGTAAGTTGCAAAGAGGCATCCTGGGAGACAGAGAGGATGACCCACAACATACGTCAGCGGGCAGACCCAATTTGCCAACGTCATGCACTGCAGGGTGTTATGTAATACAGGCAGAACAATGGGTTCCCAGGTGTGGATTTGTTAAACCTTTCCATGCTAGCGGCTCTGCTACTGGGACCAGGCAATGTCTGCTATTAAAATTCACCATGCCACTGCCATTTTGAGAAGGTCAGAGTATATTTGGCTCTCTGAAGCTTATCCTATGGCCAGGGGTCTTCTTTTAGAGTAGAATCATCTCCTTGGAACTTAATTTAGTCCATGACTCCTCCACAAGTAGGGGAACTGAATTCTTCTCTGGGTTCTTGTTACCTGGGGAACATTCCTGTGGTGGAATTACACCTTTAGAGAAAATATTTGCACTTCTTAGAGACATCAGGAAGGAGCACATTACCATCAAAGTGAAATCATGATTTGGACCTGGGATTGTACATGTATGAGCCCCCTCTAGAGAAAGTGAAAGAATCATTTCTGTCTTTCTGTCTGATTTTATGTATGACTCATTTTGAGTCTGCATATTTAGTTAAAATGGTTAAAAATGTGAGAATGTGTTAATGACAAGCTCGACTGGACGTGGGTGGGTGCCAGAGAGGGAGACTATCCATTTGTGTACTTGATTATCAGTGTTTTGTCTACAGCTCTGCTGCTAAGACAGTCCTTGGAAAATCAGATATTGTGCATACAAAGGCAGTAAGACGTTGTTGTGTGGCATTTAGAACTTCACAAGTTCCTCAGTCAGTGGCTTTAGTCCCAACTGCCCAGCTAACTGTCTTTGGAAAGTAACATGGGAAAAAATTCACAATGAAAGCATAACAAATCATATAGGCTGGTTACCTGTCCCTTTTTGGTCAATCCAAATAGTCTGTAATTTTTCAGAATAATAAAACCAAAAAGCGTCTTCCTAAAAAGCCTAAAAACAAGGAGATAGTTTGTGAACATGCACAACTCTTGTTGCGGGTGTGGTGTCGCAAGTGGACAGCACAACAAACCTCAATGGCATTAATTAATTTAAATTTCTCCTCCTTAGATAGGTAAACAGTGGCATATGTACCGATGAAAAGATTTGTAACACTCTAAACAAAGCAATACCATCATGGGTTGTTAATCTGCTTGTTAACGCTGGTTAACACATCACATGCAGCAGACACACTGACCTCAAGCTGTCAAAACAAACAGGTACTGTGCTCCATGGGAATCCAGCCACGGGGGGGCTTCACTGGCCGGCTGCTTGTAGGTTAGACCCGGTCAAGTAAAACAGCGAATCCCTGTACAGGAACATTCCCGGACATGCAGTAACCTCAGGCCCTGTATTTATCTCCACATCCTCTGGTCACAGTTCAGCAGCAGGAGGGAAAATATATCCACCAAACCAGGTGCAGTCAAAAAAATTCCACTTTATCAATGGCACATAAATAAGCTTTATTGAAAATATACATAACAAACAAGTCAATATAACATTTTGTCAATATGGTGGGGGCACTGGTGGATGTCAGGTAAGCTCACATTAACGCACAATGGCCTGGAAATCATAACCATTCAAGGAAATCCTTAAACTATCAAGTAATACTTTATTGTGATAGAAAAAAAGTCTCATGACTGGGAATTTGTGAGACGTGTATAAACCCAGTTGCTTCTGCATAGAAGTACTAGAACATTCGTTATGTACACATGTGCATTTTTTGAGCTTTAGGTCACGTCTAAGGTGGTAATTCACCACTGTAACATTGTAGATAAGTCAGAAAACAAGGAAAAGCACCATGGGCTTTTGAAGACTGTGTTCAGGTGCAATTAGATCAACTCCAACATCAGCTCTGCAAGGTGAAACGGGGAAATGCCACTGGAACTTGGAAGGATACAACTGCCACCTACCTGTTTGGTTTATTTGCAGAGACAAAAGCAGGATCATCCAAACCAAGTAACATTAAAGCGTTACTGAAAAAAAGAGATAAGGAAAATAAGAACTTTGGATTATATATTATGTTATACAAAGGACACCAAAATATAGGAATATCTCAGTTAGATAGTTAATTAGTAAATTATTTTAGTTAATTAGTCCAATTAGTCCATTTGTTCCGTTAACGACTTTCTAATGCAATAATGGAAAAAAGGAACAGCAAGGAGTTGATACTAAGCTCAGAGACAGTTAAGACCCATGTAGAGCGTCATTATTAGTGTTGTTCTAACAATAAATAAGGAATTGCATTCAACATACCAGGGTTTAAAGTTTGAGTAAGAAGCAGTGATGGTACATCACTATGCAATATACTGGCATCCTGGTAATTCTGTTAGTAGTACAATGAGATGAAGAAGTGAGACCTTGGAGAACAGCCTGAAATCATTGAGACCAGTGGTGCTTGCAGCTGTAATCCTGTACACACCGTGCATACATTTTTTAAATGACAAGGCTCCATCGTATCTTAAAGGCCTCACAGAGCCTTATCATCCCAAAAGAGCACTTCGCTCTCAGAGTGCAGGTCCACTTGTGGTTCCTAGAGTCCACAGAAGTAGAATGGGAGGCAGAGCCTAGGCTGCTCTGAGTTTCTCTCCTCTCCTCTCCTCTCTCTCCATCCATCTATATGCCATCACTACCCAACACTAACTGCGTGTTCTCTCTCTCTCTCTCCTACCTTTATGCAGGTTGTCCTGGCTCTGGAGCTCTACGTTTCTGATGAGCAGTCACCGGCCACATCAACCTGACCAGTGCTTGATGTGTCTTTTCTTTTCTCTCTACTCTATCCACTCACCCCAAACGGTCGAGGCAGAAGGCCGCCCACGAAGAAACAGGGTCTGTCTGAGGTTTATTGCCAGATAGTTATTTCTCATCCCCACTGTCACCAAGTACTTGGTCAAGGAGGATTTTTGGGGGGTTTTCCTCTATAATAATAGTGATAATAGTAATAATAATTATAAGATGAGGGCACCACAGTGGCGCGGTGGTTAGTGCTGTTGCCTCACAGCGAGAAGGTTCCGGGTCCGAGCCCCGGCCGACCCGGGGCCTTTCTGTGCAGAGTTTGCATGTTCTTCCTGTGCCTGCGTGGGTTCTCTCCGGGTGCTCCGGATTCCTCCCACAGTCCAAAGACATACAGCATAGGATGACTGGTGTCTCTAAATTGCCTGTTGGAGTGATTGTGTGTGTGAGTGGTTGTTCGTCTGTATGTTAGCCCTGTGATGGACTGGTGACCTGTCCAGGGTGTCCCCCGCCTCTCACCCGCAGCTGGCTGGGATTGGCTCCAGCCCCCTGTGACCCCGTTTGGGACTAAGTGGTATAGAAAATGGATGGATAATAATAGTAAGGTCTAGACCTTACTTTGTAAAGTGTCCTGAGATGACTTTTGTTGTGATGTGGCACAATACAAATAAAACTGAATTGCATTGAATGTTGCTCAAGTTTACACCACAGTGTTTAGCAGTCATTGTACGATAGAGAAATACAGTTTCACAGTTATGGCCTATCTAATATGATATCACACACCCGCAGAGTGGATCACATTATTTCTACTCCCTAATAAAAATAAAACTGATTTGCATTGAATGTTGCTCAAGTCTACTCCGAGCCCAGCAGCTCAGAGTGACTGACAGCAGGCTGCTGAGCTGAATGAGCTGTGGAGGTGCTGCTGTGCAGGGCTCACATTAATATGAGAAAATATAGTGTTGTTATAATGATAAAATGGCCCGGAGAATGCTGTTATAACAAGAAAATACATATGTCAGAATAACATAAGAACGTTTTAACATGAACGTATCTTGTAAAAACAGCAGGTTTCTCTTGGTTTATGCAGTTCTTCTTGTGCGTATTATAACATATAATCCTACAGGTGCCATTGATTCAGGCACTGACAGAAGACATTACAAACCAGATGTTTAAACTGATACAAAATACACAGAGTTCAAATGACAGCAGTTAAGTGTAGGCCTTAGATTTGTATGGAGAGCAATACATATAGGGGTCAACGAGTTAGCTGAACAATGTTCAAAGCAGCAGAAAAGTGTCACGCTGACATAAGAGTATCCATGTTTCAGCAACACAGAAATGAGGGCCACATTAAGCAAAGTGAGGCAGTAGAGACAGTGGGAAGAAGGAGACCCGGACAATGGCTGTACAGAATTCAGAGAAAAGTAGGCCAGGTGTGATGACAAGCTATGGAAGAGAAGATGAGAGGGCATGATGGGGCACAGGACTAAACAGCAGCTACGCTATTTCACATGGGAAAGCACAGTACAGGAAGGTGTACATTTGTAAACTGGAAAAAAAACTTGACAACACATTTTTTACTGTCCAAAATATGATGCCGAGAGCAGTGTGACCTACATGGTCATTACAAAGAAGCAATGGTGATAAACGTTGTGGCCTAGTATGTTTTGTTTCTATATCTCAGAAGAATTTGATAGACTATAACTGTTTTCTTGAGCTGTTATAAGCACAAGATTAGATTCCCGCTCCACACACTCCATTCCAGCTGGTGGCGGTAATGCAGTTGTAGCAGATGTAATTAATCGCTTATATATATATTTCACCGAATCCATTCTCTGCCGTCAGGTTTGTCATGCAAACTGTTTAAGATCCTCCCTTTCTTGTTTTTTGAGCCTCTATTTTGTTAAGTTTTATTTCTGTGATGTAATTTCCTGTGCGCGATGTCACTTCCTGTTAATTCGCGCCGCTCTCGTCAGTCGGCTAGATGCCGCGACGAGGAGAGGTGAGTGTGTTTTTGAGCTCTCCATGTTAATGTTCCGAATGCAAGCAAATGTTGCTGAGATGGTTAAATTCGTGTTCCTATTCATTGTTTAGTACCTGTTTAAAGAGTATGGAGTTTTTTTGTTATTTACAAATCGAGTACAGCATGTAAATAGTCCTTATGCCAGGCTACTGGGCACCCGAGCGGGTTTTTACGTGGCTCGCCATTCTATGTTTTCTTTACAGTTTGCACTGTGTATGTGGAGCCTGGCAAAGCGAGCTGCTGTATGTTTCATTTCCTTTTTGCACAGAATAAAGTCCTGTGTTGGGTAATATGATGGCAGTGGTCCTCCTTTCAAGTTGAAGACACAACGCAGAGTCCCAGAAAGTTTACTGGTGCCCTGACAGGCGGGCTACACAGTGGTACGTTGCTCTCCAACCTCTTTACGAAGAAGAGGCAACTGAAGGATCTCATCAACTAGTTGTGGTCAGAGCTCCTCTTTTGACGGGTCGTCAGCGAAGGATGTCGAGACTCCAGGGTCTGAAGGTTTTCATCCAGCAGCGGCTGACTGCGGCTGTGGACGAGGTAGTGGGGTATTTAGAGAGAACAATAACCGAGTATGAGGAGATGGAGTGCCGCCACCGCGAGCTGCTGGATGCCCGTCCAGAACCTGGCGACAGGCTGCACACTGCAGGTTTGTGCAACAGCATGGAGTCAACACTAAACTGCAGCCTGTTAGCTCGGGATAAAGATGTCTCCTGGAAGCAGCTGCATGGTGTTTACACTGCTCACAATGGTATTTATTAAGATGGGCGCATATGGAGATAAAATACTATCAAAAATGTTACAAATGCGTGTTTAACGTTTTGTCTGTAACAAGCGATTTGTGTGTGTGTGTCATGAGGATCACAAATGCATGCTGTACAAACTGCACATAAAACACATTTTACAAATGCTTAAAATCGATTTTTTTGTGTGCAGTTTGTTGAGCTTTGCAGCTTCACCAGCGTTGAACTCGGGAAGAAATTTGACAGAAGCAATAATATCCTTTAGCTCTCTTAGCATATTTTTATTGGAACAAAGAATAACACGCGTCTACACTCTTCAAGTGTGACGACCCCAACTGAACTCAGACCTTCCCGCTAAAAACAAAATGGGTGCGCTCACAAAAACTGCGCCCCACGGTGGTGGAAACGGCACACTTCACATTACAACAGCATGACTACACATTACAACTGAGTGCACATAAAAGAATGTCTCTCAACAGACCGCATTCTCTCAGTTACATCTCTGTCGAGCGCCAAAACTGGCTTACTTGTGCGACATGTTCAGCCTGCTCAATGAACTCAATCTGTCACTTCAGGGGAAAATGACAACTGTCTTCAAGTTGGCAGATAAA